TGGTCACATGACTTTTGCGTTCACCCCTCGTTTACGCAATTTCATATTTATTTGTCAAGATTGTTTTCATCGGAATCGCAACAGACTACAAGCAAGTCTACGTAGTGCAGTCAGGGGTATAGATACAAATGTCCTTACTCGGAGCAACTAGGATAAAATTACTTTGTATCCATCTCATATAATTGACTTAACCTTGACAATGATTAGCAATACTCAAGCGAAACCACCAAATTTGGGTTAGAATGCAGTACTGTGGTACAAACGTACCCCAAATGAGCTCAATGTCACTCATATTCCTTTGTACTAAATTTAGAATATAAATATTCATGAGTTGATCATTAATAAACACCTGCGTTTGGCATTCAACTGCCACAATTTCAATATAATACGTCAATTTCAAAACGTTTACGAATCTCGTGCAGTATTCACTCACAACGTAAGAAATTATTATCTCACTTTATCTTATTTAGGAATAATAGTAGTATCACTTATGGTCCAATATACGGACATGTACACTACCCTTCGTGTACAAATAACATGTTAATTGGAAGTTAATTAAAATAATATTATTGTTGTTTTCTATGTTACAGACACACTTATTGTATTTATCGGGTGAATCTTTAAAAGAATTTCGTGGAGAATCTGTAATCGATGTTGATGCAGTCGATTTATTAAAATATCCGAAAATTCAACAAGTTAAATACTCGAGTGTAGCAGTGAACGAAGGGGATTGCTTTTATTTGCCGCATGGTATGCTCCCGTTTGTGTATACATACAAATCATCGTATAGAATGCGTGAAAAAGTTTTTGTACATGTTTTACATAGCTGAATACATTTTTGGTGCATTTGAGATGAATGTCATGGAAAAGAATTACGAATATCCATATGATGGTTGATGGTATTTAAAAAGAATGCCTTATTTGGAAAAAAAAAAATCAGTCAACCCCGTAGTTATGTATAACACATAACACTAATGATTGTTATTACATTGCAGGCTATTCACATCAATTCGTGATTAATGATGCCGAACTGACGCTAGCATACTCTATATGGTTCTCATTTTTTACTAAGAGTCGCCCCTTTGAAGGTTCCCACTGTGACAAAGAACTCCAAATGAAAGCTGTGAGTGACGTTGATGTTTTGTGGACGTTTGACGGCAGTGCAGATGGAGATTTACAAATGGAACATATGGATATACACGTACTCAGGTGAGTGGTCTGTATTGTAATCATAGAATAATTATGCAATTACGCAATACATGCACATCTAATTAATGTATATGTTTCTTCTTAGAACGGTTTTACTGACATCAGGCGACGGAAATGGTCTCATCTTTTTGGACAAATTCACAAATCATTTCTTTAATGTTAGTATAATTTTGATTGTTCTGCTGTTTTCTTAGGGTATAGAAGCCAGTTCAATGATACTCTGTGTCTTTTTACATATATCGAGATAGTCTTGTTCTCACATTGTTAGAATTGGCGGCTTCTGTGGGTGATACAACACAAATATCAGAAAACTACAATAGCATTTTTAGTCAAATATATTTGATCTGCGTCTATTCCTTAAATTATGCAAACTTTTTCCTGATGTTTTGTGTTTTTGTTTTAATTTTGCTGGTTTTACTGTGCTTATTTTAATTAGTAACAATTAGCTTGTTGTGTCCCAAAATGTCCGCGAATAAAAATATTCAAATTCCCATGATTACCTTAACAATAGGCAGTGTCTTAAATAACACGACATAATAAAATATAATAATATACTTTATAAAACCATGCTTCAAAAAATGTCACTTCTAGCACCTTAATACCCAGGTATAATACTTAAAATGTCACATGTAGACAGTGTCACGTGTCAGCTAAGTGAGTCATATGTGCTGATGATCAACTTTGGTAGGTATACTGGCTATTTACATTTTACAAAAGGTCGTATATATGATTTATTGTTCTGGTCAACATCAGTTGCGCTAATGTGGGAATAAATTCTAATTTAAAGTATTTATTCCAATATTCTTATACTTAAGAGATATGAAATATACTTAGAAAGCTAAAACCTCGAGTAGTCAGGAAAATATGATATTAAAATGGCATTTTCGTAAATTGAGACTTACTGATTGTCGTTATATTCACTGGTTTGAACATTGAATACATGCGTGCCTCACCCCAACAATATGGTTTTGTTCAGTACGTATTTTAAAATACGTGAAATTACCGCACAACTTAATATGTGTAAACCTATTTCCGTGGTATGTTTACTTTGTTTTTTAGAGTGACACTGTGAAGCAGAAAAATGAAGAAGATGATATTCGACGTCAGGTACAAATATTATTATTTTGGTTACGGTCTAAAATACTAAAAACAGACTATAAATACCCAAACAAATATATGTTTAGACTATGCTGGCTTAGTAGGGAATGTGGTAGCACCGAGCGTTTGTTAGTAGTTTAAAAACGCCAACATTGTCCACGTGAAATGCACATGTTAGGCGTTGTTTCCTGTTATACATTTCCATGAGTCAATGGGACAGCAATCCACACAATATACAAAACACATGTGAGATATACAGCAATGAGTCTGCCAGAAAATAATAAGACCTGTTAAGTTTTTCTATTTGTGTCTCGATTCACGAATAAGTTTCGAAAATAAAGAATACAAATAATTATTAATAATATCATTAATCATGTTTATGGACAGAGTGAGGATCCGAATATTCTTTTACATTACAATTAAAACGTTAGTAGTTACTATACTACATGTAAATATTTTGTTAGTTTATATTTACATAATGAACTATTATGTTAATTGTACTTATAAGAATACTTATAAGAATATGATTAATTGATTAATATGATTAATAATATAAACACGTTCGGTTCCAGTTTTGTGACATACTTGACCCTACAGGTAGAGGGTATGTAACGGTTAAAGAAGTCAAGGCGTTATCTATAGATACATTGAAGAAACTGCTGTTGAAATTTGACCCCACCGACGTATTAAACACAGTAGACCTTGAATATAGTATCATAAATGCAGAAGTGATTACGTAAGTTGTATGTGAATAACCCGGGTTTCGCATAACTTGCATACAATTGTATATCCCGAATCTTATGTAGATCGGAATGACTTTTTATCCCATTAGATTTATTTAGTTAATTTGTATGAAATGTGCGGGTTTCATTTTAACATGATATTTTCGACATATAATGTGCCATCACACCCACAGTTTATGTTCCGTCTCGTTCGTAGATAGTCTTACAATAATTAATAAAATAATAATTTATCACGCCAAGAAACCTCAAACGAGCACCAGAACCCGTAACTGGTATTTTGCTAATTATTCATTTACGTCTCACTTTCACTTCAGCAATGTAGTTACATACTTGGCCACAGTTGGACCTGATCCCGGATTTCATGCTAATGAATTGATTGATGCTTATGTGCAACAACTAGGAGGTACCCGTGAGAAGGCACAAGAGGTTAGTTATTTAATTGTGTGATACGATTTTTATAGTTAAGTTTATACGAAATAGGTGCATCGGAAAGCTGTCAAACTGCTCACTTGTCAAACCAGGCGGAAATACATATTTTATAATTGTGTTATATATATACATTTATGAGCCATTAATATATATATCAAACATAAATCTCATTAACAGATTCTAGCAGGGTTAGGTGCCCATGAGGACGAATTGGTTACCATGGAAATGGTCAATGAGAAACTTGAAAAAGCTATTACTAAGTTTCGGAATGCAAGACCCAATGAACCTGCAAACCACCGCCTGTGGTTTAAACATTTAATACAGCACAATGAAATATAGACATTGAAGGCTGAACTTTTTTTAGATAGATGGGAATAACAATCTGTTCTAATTATTCTAGACAATATAGAACTACTCTACTATATAATTTAGTGGTAATTTTGGCTAGAAAAATTAGATTGCGAGATGTAAATAAAGATGTATGAGGTTGTATATAGGATGTTATATAGGAATTTCATATTTTTCAAAATATGTGTTAATTAGTATATATTTTGTGCTGTCATACATACATACATACATACATACATACATACATACATACATACATACATACATACATACATACATACATAAATAAACATAACTATGTTATTAGGGTGACAGAGAGATTCGATTGGTCTCGAGCTTTTTGTAAAATTATAAAATCGACATTAAATGGTGAAATAAACAGTAGACCACTACGCCATCAAATGTAGAACTTTCCTACTGGTAATATTTTTAATGTCTCTGTAATGTAACTACTAAATAGTGTAGTTCCGTGCAATATTTTTGCCGCCATGCATATTCAGTATCTGTTGTGGAATATGGATATAAGGGATGTTTTTTTGATTGCGTTACACAAGTAAAGAACTGGTTTGCCAGCACTAACTGTCTCCTTTTGTTATTTTATTACATATACATATACTACTGTTACCTGATGTAAATAGTACCGTTTTTAAATTGTATTACTAGTATACTGACCACGCCACCGGTCTACTCGGTTTATTTTATTTTATTTTTAGTAGAAAATATAGATTAAATTGCGAGATTTAAATATACTATTAGATAATTGTGGTTACGATATTAAGTGTGGTGGACAACTCATTCTAATATTTTATTCACATTATCCCAAGTAATCATATTATCCCCTTTCTGCACAAGTGTATATACTTGTGGTATCCCAACAACTACATGCAATGTATGTTCCTAACATGGTCACGCACGGGCTCGTAAGACAAAAAATATCTGCGTTAGCGAAACCGGGTGAATCGGGTGGACGGTGTGAATTTGCTAGTTTCAAATCAGACATAAATGTGTGGGTATGGTGGTTGCTATGGTATTCAATTCTATGTATGATCATATTCATTGACAAGAATATTATTTAACAATCGCATACTTGGTATGACTTATTCATTTTCGTATTATACGTATTAAAATAAAATTTTACAGTCACTATGATAACTAAATATTGTTGCCACATTATGGAAATGTGCATCATTTCAAACATGGCGGAAATAACACTGACTTTGCATAAGACTGTGTAGTACTAAAATGACACTGTCCGTTCGATGAGAGTTGTCTAAACCATTTTAGAAAAAAGTAAACAGGATAGAATAGTTGAACTTGAACTGTGCCATCAAAAGTCGGGTTGACAGATCCGTGAAATTCACTGATACTATGGGCTCGTCAAATATGAGAGATAAACGAAGTTGTGTATAATATACGAAGCTCAAAACGCCTCTGGCATTCTTTGTACACACCAGCAGCAGTTTGTTGTTTGATAAAGGAGGTTTTACATCTCCCCGAAACGTTATAAAATAAACCATTGCTTGAAGTCAGAGACGTGTGGAGCTTCGTATATTTTACACAACTGCCTTTATCATTTTAGAAAATTGGCTTTTCTTGTCCTCACATTAGGAAGACTGCTATACACACATAGTGCAAATGAAATGGATGTGCCTATTCATATGGCTGGTCGGTGTGATTGAACACCAATCTCTAGAAATCATTGAGCAGGAACATTCCACACTTCTATTTGCAGGGTTTTAGGTATACAAAAAACATAGAGTAAAGATTATTTTTAACTGTATTCCAAGGATGAAAATCTGAGAGAAAAATGTTAGCATATCACTAAATAAAGAAATCAGCCTTGGCTTAAAACTAAAAATTTCGCAATAATGGGTGACAAGACAGTCTCGTCGCATGATTACTATGTCGCTGTCGTTCTAAGCTTGACATGTAAGAGTGTTCTGTCATTCTCCAATCCTCGACTGATTACCACCGTTGTTGGCGTGCTTGAGTGTCATGAAACCAGTCTGTCACAGGCGACATTTTACACCTTAATTCGAGGGATTGCGCGTTACTTTTTTTGAAGTACATTGTATTATTCATAATTTAGCAATCATTTATATATTTTTATATAAAAAATTATAAAGAAGTAATAATTCAGCAAATTTGATAAATAGCCACGAAACTTTGCCAAATGCAAAACAGTAGTCTTAAGTACAGCGGCGTGAGAAGCTGTGCCAGCGTCTGCCGTGGAATGTCCAGCGTGTTAAATATGTGAATGCGATTAGTAATGGCATTTTGTTGAAAGGGAAACTTTTCTGATTAAGTGGGGCCATAAAGTATCGTTTGTCTTACTTTTATGCCTTTTTATGTGTGTTTGGGAACTTTATTTAAAATCATATAACCCAACAAACCGGCGAGGTGAATAACCAGTATAATGCAACTATATAAAAAGTATATAAAAAAAACAACAACAAGTATATAGATTCCGCCACTGTCACGGAAATTGTTTATATCAATGTATGTATTTTTTTAATTGCAGGTTTCGGCTTTAGATATTTTAGTGTTAATGAAGAATTGGCTAGTCAGGAATGAGGCACAAGTTTTTCCTATTGGATTTCCAAAGACTAAATATTTTTAAAAAGTTGTAGACCTTCTCGATGTGATTCATTGCTACGTTGCTATGCCGACGAACACTTTTTCATATCTTAAGTCAAAACAAATCAAACACAGGTGTAATCAGTGTAGTCATGTGATCATTACAGATGTGTCGATTTACATGAATTAAACCCCGACTCGAGAAATTTGAATGCAGAAAACTACTTGGGACATTTCTATCCAATCCTTTCTAACCACCATGACCATGTGCTACTTTTTGTTTTAACATGTCTCAATGCTACTCCAGTATTTAGGAAATAAACACTTACAGATCATACAAATCGTACTGTAGAAAAACATGACATGATCCACAGCTCGTAGTTAATTGAACCAGTTTTAGATATCAAGTCAAATGATCATTTTAATTGAAAAAAGAAGTGGTCATGTTTATTAAACAAAGTAGATTTGGAAACATATAAATATAAACATTTCATTCTTTTATGTATACTATATGTGTAATAATCCATCCTTTTTCATAACATGTTTGCTATTAAATGTGAACGTGTTCGAACTTCGACTTCTGCCCGACGCGACGGTAACATATTATCAACTTCCTTTGAACCCTGTCGTCTGGCAAAAAAATAAATCATTATGCAGTTGTTAAAGTTTTAGTAATTCGCAGAAAAACATCGTAGTCTTCTGTCTGTCACGTGATTGAGTAATTTCAGGACTGTAGTGGAGATATGTCAGCCGCCATTACGTCCAATGTTATCATAAATTTTCAAGATAATTATCGAAACATTCGAAGACCTTCCGCTATTTTAAATTTCAAGTCGCCTTACTTCTTCACACCTTCCACCGCATCTTCATCAAATGCGAACTGGTCATAATGTGGGCCCTTGTCTGACAGTTTTAGGGCTGCCTATTTTGACATGGGTATCTTCCTGTTTGATCGACCACGTTTGCGTTTTTGAAATTTTCCAGGCATTGTAACTAGCAATGTTTCACTTTCAAATACGGAAATGCGACTGAAGGTAACACTCAAAATCTCGTGATCCCTTTCATATAGAGTGGTTTGCGCATGCGCCGAACCAAACGCAGCGTCTCCAAAATATTGCTTATCGTAGTCTGCTGTAACTTGCGAACCGCTAAGTAGAATCTCAGACTAGTAGTAGTAGTCTAAATAAATAAAAAACAATATTAGCCACGAACGTGAGTCGCTACCTTAATTAACTCACAAAACTTGAGTTGACAAGTTCCATTTTATATGATACGACAGTGATCTGAAACTGTGAAAGAATAATTACAGAGCTACGGATTCTGAAAAAAAATATATACAATGCCTATTTTAGTCATCTTGAATTTTCAAGGTGAATGTTCCTGCGAAGCACTCCACTATCACCTTGAAGTATTTCATTAGGACTATGTGTATGTGACAATGCCCTCACAGTTTAGAATCAGTTTACCAACAGCTAATCACAATGTTTCTTTCTTCAGCGCGCTTGGCCAAGCTATTTATATCAAAATCTTCGAGGCGGAGCTAGCCACAAGATGTTCCACGTTATTTAAGACGCGCACCACTCTCCCATGTATTTCTATGGGCTCTGGCGAGCTGCTGCGAAACACCAGTCGAAAAGCCGGTGAAAATAGCTAAAATCGAGAAAACAGCACAAACTTAACTTTGAAGTAATCCTAAACAACCAAATTTAAATACTAGTATGTTGCATATGTAGGGGTAATCTTGTTACACTGTTCAGGGGGGGGGGGTGTTAACCATCCCAAAATACCGTTTTCTGAGAATTTATTGGCCTTTGTTTTCACCATGATGGTTGCCAGGCGGTGAAAATGCTCGATCCGAGAGTAAATGTCGCTGTGCACAGTGGAAGCTGTGTTGACTTGGATGTCGAGGCAATACAGCGACGATATCCATACATCATGCAACTCACTGATATTCAGACCAAAGCTATTCAAGCTATACTTAGTGCCGAGTCTGATGTGTTCCTTTTTAGTCGCACTGGAAATACTAGTAGTAAATCCTTATGTTATTATGCTTTACCGGCCTTGCGACCGTCGAGCGTGATAATAGTGTTGTCTGAAGAGTAGGTGTTATACCTCAAAGCTCATGATGCCACTGCAACATATGTCGGCAGTAATGAAGCCGAAGACATCAGAAATGCAAAGCTTCAAGCGCTTTTTGGCAGTCATTGTAACAAAGCTTTCTATTGGTCGGTAAACTTTCTATCGCGCAACCACGTGACATATACGGTTATGAATAGAATTACCGCACGGAGGAATGTCCGAACGGAACAACACCGTGCAGGCGGACGATGATTTTAGTACACATGCACAAATAAAAGAATATGCGAGTCATTGTAAATACGAAATTAACTTTGCTACGTATGGCCAGTTGAAGT